GGTCTCTCGGTATATACTTTCTAATTCCTGTTGCATCTATTTAAAATTAATTTTCCTTGTAGTTTGTTATTTTAATTAATTATTTTTTTTTTTTTTTTGTTAAAACAACTCAGGTTGTCCGATTGATGAAGTTCCAAACCACACTTAAATTTCACAATTTTGTGTTGTATTGTGGTTTGGAAATTGGATTTTCCCCGCTTTCTGTGTTACTGCTTTTCTTGATTTGTTTCCTCATTTTTTAAATTCAGGGTGCATATTGGTTGAAATGCATACCGGCGAAGCACTATTCGCTGGTACTTGTGAGCATGATCAAATGATGCGCATAATTGAGGTGTTAGGTATGCCACCAAATCATATGATTGAAGCTGCACCGGCAGAAAAACGAAACAAGTTTTTCGAGAAAGATGATGGTAAGTTTAGTTTAGCTAGATTTGGGTCCTTTCTTGTTTCCTATATCCATTACGCATTTTCACCTTTTCCTGCAGGTAACTACCATGTAGGTTTCGGTTCTCGTTGTGATATTCTTGATGTTTTCAAGTTCTGTACGTCGAATATGGTTGTTCTATGCAACCTTGTCTTGTTCGAGATTCCCTAGATTCAAAACCATAAATTGATTGCCAATTTTGAACCACCAAGTCTGAAACATTATTACTCTGCTCAAAGATTAGCTGCTCAAAGTGCAACTTCTCAGAACAAGTTGTTAACTCAGTTTTTAACGATTTCCTCATGCCGGCTTTATTGCATTGAACGCCAGGAAACAGTAGTCGGTATGGAAAATGTTGGATGATCACACTTCGAAGCAAAACCTTGATGAATCAATTTCGTGTGGCTCGTATAGCATGGGGCTCTTCATGCTTCATTCTTCATCACTTCACCTTATTCATCTTGGGGAGAATAAATCTCTTTCTGCTTGTGCCTAATAGCTATACTTTTTTTTGAAGATTCCGAAGGTTTGTTCCATATCTCGGAAGTAGGACTTGGCATAATAATTATTCAGGAAGCAGGAGACTTTCACTAATAATTTTGTTATAGTGCCACTAAGGTAGTCAGAGAGATTCTCGTCGAATGAGAAGTTTCAAGCTTTTCTTTGCGGGTGGTTGTTAATGGAGCACAATGGCCTAATTTAGATTCAAGTGCTGTAACTACATGGGAATGACTTGTATTTATCGGTAGTCCAAAAAATTTTCAAAAATCAGGAAGTGAAAATGAAAATGATTCGGAAAATTTCGAAGACAAGAAGAAAATGATATATATATACATATATATATATATATATATATATATATATATATATATATA